CAAAATTGCCTCTGCTATTGTTTTTCTCCACCTTAGATTGAATACTCACACACAACCGCGTCGAAGCTTTGTTCTTCACATAACTAAGAAAGTTTCTAATTTGCCGATCATTGGTGATGAAGACCGGAGGCGAGTCAATGCTATTGATCAAATCGGAAGGCAAGTAACTGAGCTCCATATTGACCATGTTTACATAAATTTCGAAGTCTTCACACACCATAAACTTTACGTTTTCGAAGCTTAAACTTGTGTCCAAAGTAAGTAACCTCCCTCCTTTTGCTTCATCGACAAGAAACTCCCATCCACTGTGTATTGACGATTTCCACAAACCACATGAAGCGTAGATGTGAATCTTCATATTTTTTGTGGCAAAGAGAATTGAAAGAAGAAGAAAAGATGAAAAACACACACGATGAATCCCTAAATCGTGTGAGAAGAGGAGGTTTTCCATTTTTTTTTGGAAGAAAACTTAAAAAACGAAATTAAAATATTAAAAAGATTTATAGAATATTACTTAACCGTTTTTGGCTAGATTTTCGGATCTTGTTTATTTTTTTTCCAGAACTTACATTCTACCACTATAGAAGGTAGACGAAGAACTAGGATATGGTATACGACGATTGTAGATAGAAAAACAATGTCAAGAATCCACTTCCTACCGAGCTAGATAAATGTTTATCTCTACGACTTACAGTCAACCAAAACCGTAGATTACAGAGACTTCGGTAGATTATATATTCTGAGCTCGTAGTTATATATGTTTTTGATATATTGCGCATCCTAAGCCGTTTAGAACGCTGTCTTTCTGTTAGATTACATATTCTACATCTCCGTAGATGGTAGATCGTATATACTAACACATTTACTCCATTTTTAAATTTACAATTTAAAGTTTTTTTATAAACAATAATATTTTTCTTATATGAACATGCTTATCTACATCAAGTTTACTATTTTTCCATAATTTCTTACCTTGTAAAAAAATTAATATGAATTTTCAAAGACAAAAAGGGTAGTGAAGGTTCAAACATGCCAAAAATTGATTTTGTTCTAAGGCGACAATAGTATAGTTATTTTGTCTCTTTTTGGCAATTTTCCTTTTTTCTTAAGGGAAATTGGAGCCTATAACCATGAAAAAGCTGTAATTCACCTACTAGCCATCCCCTAACAGACATATACACGCTGTTATATATATATATTAATACTATACTACCATTTTACTCAACTGGCTGAACCTGCTAAAAAAATTAAATAAAAAATTAATTATTTATCACACAAAAGTAAATCTTGTCTTACCCATGTTCACATCTTTTCTTTTTCACTTCTTGTTAACTATCTTGAAGTCAAATGGTCTCTGTGAACAATCAGCTCCACCGCTTCCTCTCCGCATGCAATCAAAAGCTTGTCCATCTCCTTCGTCCTCCATTTTCAATCATGTTGTGCGTTTTGAGTTCCACGTTAGAGTTTCAACGGCGCTTAGTAACACACCCTTTCTCTCCAACTTAACCAAGTCAATTATTCTCAGATCTTCGAACCGGCTGTAAATTCTCGGTGTTTTTTTCTTTGATCTATTAGGAACATAAGTTATTTTTGTTTGGACATAGCATGCGATCTATTAGGAATATTCAATTTCAGATGAAACAGCATGATCTGCAACGTATGTACTTTAGAATTCTTTATCAATAATTTGTAAGGCCTATTCTATTCAAAATGGAATAACACATATGTTTCTCTTCGTCTGGACTTCGACTGAGCTCTATGAGAAAATTCTATATGAGATGGAATAGAATAGATTTTAGATTCACACGATTCTATGTGAAATGGAATAGCATGCGAAGAACGTGTGTATTTTATAATTCCTTATCAACAATTTTGATGTTTGCCATAAAAATTTCCTTCCTACATACAATATAATAGATTTCTTCACTAATTGTTGCTACTATTACGTTCTTTCGCCATGTTTGGTATGGATGATTTAGGTCTTCCAAGTAGATTGTTTGAGACAAGATTTGAACTAACTGGAAATAAAAAGGTGAACTACTATTTCAATCTCAGTTAGATTGAGGTGATCAAGAGTGCACTAGAGGATGATGGCTTGGCTTTGTTGAATGCATCAATTTTTGGGAGAGTCTTGAAGATGGGGTCACATACCTTCTCTATGATGTTTGTTCATTATATTATATCACGCACACATTAGCTTCTATGTAACACAATTATTTTATTAAAATATTTATTTCTTGTTTCTATGTAATCTAACATACAATTGAATGGAAATCCATCTTATTAGCACTTGTGTTCTATATTGGACATTTTAATACCATTCTATGTATCTTCCACATTCATACTTGTATATAATATTTCCTTAAGATAGTGTTGGATCAGGGTTTATATTTTTTGTGTATTGGTTAATGATTAGTGGATAAGTTTAGGGTTTAGTATTAGTGGATAAGTTTATGGTTTATATTTGGGTAATGGTTTAGTGATTAGAGTTTAGAATTTTGTTTAGTGGTGTACACAAAAGAAAGGGCTTAATCGCCAATGGATTGGGGTTTATATTTTCCTAATTTTTGTTTAGTGATTAGCGTCCATAACATTTTAAATCACAATAAATGGAGTTTATATTTCCCTAACTTATGTTGATTGATTGTGGTTTATATTTCTCTACATTTTGTTTAGTGGGGTAAACAAAAAAAAAGATTAACAACTATTTCAAGATCTAGCTAATGGATTGGGGTTTATATTTTCCTAACTTTTGTTTAGTGATTAGCGTCCATCCACAATGTAGATGGTTACTTTCCTGACCCACCTCCTAATACCGTATGTAGTATTCTAACTTAAAAAGCATAATGGATTGGGGTTTATATTTTCCTAATTTTTGTTTAGTGATTAGCGTCCATAACATTTTAAATGACAATTTATGGGGTTTAAAAGGGACAATTGCACAAATACCATTTTTGTGATACCACAATTCAACTTTACCACCACTCAAGGGACATTTTCATAAATACACAATTCTTTAATAACAAAAAGACAATACTATCCTTGCTCTATCTTCTCCAACCGTCTCTCTCTCTCAGGCTTCCTCCATCGATTCTACTCCTCCTCCTTCTCCGAAGGATAACGGCATTGTTGTGAGTTTCCGACACTCCTCCGTAACTGACTCATATCTTTTTTTTTGGAGTTTGACTTGAATTGAATCGCGCTTATTTGGAGACTTACCGTCTTCGTGTGATATTTGGCAGCTTGTTTGCGGTGGAACCACTGTGGATTTTCTTGCCGCCACCATGGGAGAGAGAAAGTGTGAGAGAGAGAGAGAGTTAAAGGAACGCTTGGTGGGAAACGAGGAAGACAATTGCAGAAGCTTCAAAGGATATAGAGAGCCTTGCAATAAACTGATGGTGTGAGTTTTTTTTTATCTATTTCATATCAATTGGTTAGACCTTGAAATTATAGTATCTTGGATGAACATTTCTATCAGTGTTAACTTATAGAATTATCTCTCCCTTGGTGGAAAGTTCCTTCTCCGCAGAATTTTCGAGGTAACTTGGCAAAACCTTTTTAATTAATCCTCTGGACAATGTTTGATTTGGTGCAGTGGTTAACACTAATCCCCAAAAAAATATTCAGGTTGTTGCAGAAACCAGAAGCTTTTGCGGCCCTTTGCCTTCTCACAGTTGTTGGAACTTCACTTCTCACTCAAAAGCTTGGTTTCAGCGACACGGTTCGATTTTAGCTTCCCTTCAATATACAAAATGCCATCAAAATCCTCACTCTAATGTCCTAAACTCAGTTTTTCTTTCTCTGAAGCTTGGAGCTTTTCTTGCTGGAGCACTTTTAGCGGAAACTAATTTCCAGACACAAATAGAAGCTGATATTAGGCCATTTAGAGGTTTGCTTCTTGGTTTTTTCTTTGTTACCACAGGAACTACCATTGACATGGAGGTAAAGTCTTATATTTGCATAAAGATTCAACTGTTGAAACATTTCATTAGTGTTCATGCTCATGTGGCTAATATTTCCTTTTTTCTTGCAGGTTATGTTCAGAGAATGGCCTAATGTTCTCACACTCTTGGCTGGTCTGATTGTGATCAAAACACTGATTATAACCGCACTCGGTCCCAGAGTTGGACTCACACTCCAAGAAAGCGTAAGAATCGGTTTCCTTCTCTCTCAGGGAGGAGAATTCGCATTCGTTGTCTTCTCTCTAGCCAACAGGTCTTTCTTCTTTCTAACTGTCATTATCACTACTCAAAGATCTCCAAAAAACTGATTATTACAATCATATCTACAGGCTAGGAGTGCTAGCTCCCACTTGAGTTGAATAAGCTTCTCATAATCGTAGTTGTTTTGTCAATGGCGTTAACACCTACGCTTAACCAACTTGGAAGAAAGGCAGCTGACTTTATTGATGAGAAGCTTGGTAACGAAGAAGTAAACTTCATAAACTTTACAAATTCTTTGCTTAGATGTAAAAACAATAAGCTGATATGGACATAAGTTCTGCAGAATGTAGATGAAGAATTGAACTTCGACGTTAAAGAATCAGCTGTCCTCATTGGATTTGGACGAAATGGGTTAGGTAAAAAGTTCATCATTTTTCCATTTCTTTACTGGAAAATAAGTTACAAGTTTTGTTAAGTGGTTTCATATTGAGTTTGCAGGTGCTGGCGAACTTATTGTCAACGCCATTGGTCTCAGACTCTCAGGACTAGATAGTGATCTTGTGGGATGGCCTTACATCTGTAGTGAAGGTCTGAAACACAGCTTAACAGAGTTTTTTAAGAAACTGGTTAGGTCTCTTCTTTTGAATATGTTGTGTTTTGTGGCAGGAAACAAGGTTTCCCTATATTGTATGATAATATATCAATCCCCACATGGTTATAGCTATCTTCAATTGCTTCAGAGTTTGGATTCGTGTTAAGCTCTACAGCCAAGATATGGTTTTCAGTTTTATTATCATTGTCCTATTGAAAATCCGTAAATATGATGTTGCAGCGCCACTATACCTGAGGTTCATCGAAGGAGACACCACAAAAGCTAGTCCCTGGCCGTCGCCTTGCAACAGAAACATTGCAAAAGACAAATTCTGTTGAAAAAGAAAGTGATGATGACCTTGTGAAGTTAATTGGAGAGCATGGCCAGTGCTCTTGTTTGTATTATTTGTAAGATGCAATAGGCCATCATCGAGAGTTTCCATGCCATCACGATACAGGTCTGCTTTACTGAAGTTATAGTGCACAAACTGAGTAACCTCTTGAACTAACATGAAAAAGTAGAGTAAAATCAGAGTCACTGACCAGAAGAAGTAGCAGAAAACTACTACCTTCCTAAGTAAACCAATCAACAGCCGAGCAAGACTACTACCTCACTAGTTGCATTGAGTGTTGAAGAAAGTAACGGTTCTTGAGTTGAAACCAAATATACTTAAAAGAGCCATCGATCCAATATATACTAAAGTATAATGATTAGCTCAGAAAGTTGAAACCAAATATACTTTTTGCAGTACCATATAACAAATTTCTCAAAGACCCAAACTTTCTCAAACTACAGTATCAAAATTGGAGTCTTTTAAGTTAATAAATTATATTTCAAAAGACAAAAGGGTATATGAAAGTTAAAACCTTTGTAGCAGCAGATGATGAAACTTCAGGCTGACAATTTCCATCTGCCAATGTCTTCTGCAATTTACAGATCTCCCTTTCCATGTTCTTAGCTTTTGTCTCTGCTTCCTAGAGAAAAATAAAACAGAACAAAAGGACCAAATCATTTACAAACAAATAAACACAAAATTGGCCCCACAAAGACACAATCCAAAAGAAAGAACAATCAGAGAATAATCAAAGGGGATTACTTTCACTTGCTTCAGCTCAGCCGCCATAGACACCACGTTCCGCCAGAATCTATTTGAAGCATCCGATCAAATCTCAGAAACTATGTCATGACGAAGAAGAGAAGGAATAAAACTATGTTCAATGCATGTGAACAAATCTAGAATTATTAACATACAATAATACAAAGAACTATCATTAAAGTATGAACTTTTTTTAATGAAATCGAAGTTTATATTATATTTCTTGAGACAGTGAGAAGCAAAGAAAACATCAAAGGAGTTTAGCAGGACCTTTTGTTCTCTCGGGAAAAAAAAATTGAAATCATCATCTTTCGTAGCTTATAAGATGTGAAGAAAGGCTCAAGAGCTTCAACGATGCAAACCCATTCCTTTTCTTCGTAAGTTCCAAATCCTAGTTGCCCATCTTCTCCAGAGCCCCTGTACAAAACACAATCAAAAGGAAAAAGAGCAATAAGTAAGAAGAAACATCAATGGAGAAGAAGAAGAAGAAGAGGAGATCTCTCTGTCGAGGCTGATTTTGGCTGAATTTAGTCTGAGAAGAAGAGATTCTTGTGAGAAAAGGAGAGAGAGAGAGAGGAAGAGGTTTCGCAAGAGTCACCTCTTCCGTAAGGTTTCCAAATTTGATACCTTTTTCTTCTAATGGCGGAAGCAACAATTAGCAGAACGAATCTGTTCATCGGAAGAGCCTGTGTGAATCAACACAAGAATGTAAATGATTTCCCTATCTCACTGGTGAGCTTTGGTTTGAAAAAGAGTTTCTCTTCTCTCAAGCTGAACCCTCTGACACACAGATGGATACTCAATTTCAGACCTTCACAAGAAGCTCCGCGGCTCGACGGACCTCGCCGTAGCTTCGTCGGACCTCACCGTAGCTTCATCCACCCTCGCCGTAGCTTCGTCGGATCTCGCCGTAGCTTCGTAGGATCTCGCCGTAAAACTCTTCAGCGTCGCCCGATCTCGCCGGAGAAATCATCACCGCCGGAGAATACGTCGATTGAATATGAGATAAGAGTTAGTGGCTTAATTAGTTAAGGGTATATAAGTACTTTGCCAATTAAAATTTTAATGATAAAGTTGATTAATGTATAAATGAAATGTGGTATTGTGAAAGTGCTATACTTGGCAATTTCCCTTTATATTTCTCTAATTTATGTTTATTGATTGTGGTTTATATTTCTCTACCTTTTGTTTAGTGGGGTAAACAAAAGAAAAAGATTAACAAATATTTCAAGATCTAGCTAATGAATTGAGGTTGATATTTTCCTAACTTTTGTTTAGTGATTAGCGTCCATCTTCAATGTTAATTTCCTAACCCATCTCCTAATACCGTATGTAGTAATCCAACTTAAAAATGAAATATATGTTGATATGCTATACTACATAACCGTATGAAATAGTTCATAACGAAATATCAAGGCAATTTAAAGGATATGTAGATTATTTATAATCATTTATAAATGGAATAGATGAATAGAAAAACGGAATGGAATGAATGATATAGGTAGAATGGAACAGAAATAGGTAAACTGTTTTTTTTATGCGCTTCATAAGTTTCATGATTTAACTATCCTATAGAAAACCATCACGTCATTTATTTTATAGCATGTAACCGGATACCTGTTGGTGGAAGGGGTAAAACCGGATGAAAAGCAGGCTAAATGTCAAAGAATGCATTATATCAACATCAGTGTTATATACTAAATTTTTACGTCTCATATTTGGCTACTTCGCCAATAAGCCTTTTTTTTTATGGGCCCTCCTGTCTAACAAGACCTTGAACTGATGTTCTGGATTCTTAGACCGAGAGAGGAGTGGAGTGAAACCCATCTCCAACAGTTAAAACTAAGGGTATGAATGTCAAGCAGGAGAAAGACATGAGAATCCCAAAAGAAATAGTAATGCAGAACTGACTGTATTTAACATCCATTCACCACTAAATTGCAGAACTAAACATAATTATTAAAATATTACAATCCTGTATGCAGACTAATAATATATTACTTTCTGGAACTGCACGTAAAAGAGAGTAAAACAAGGCTGACCAGATGCAGATGCCCAATGGGATGTCTAGCTTTTTTTTTTTTTTTAAAGTCTACTATCTATATAAATCATGTAATACTTTATTTTGTTTGATTAAAAATAAGTTAAAATTTATTTTCAATAATACTTAGTAGAAAATTCACTTATTCTCTAAAATAGATTATAACATATATACATACATTTTCATTTCATATATTAAACTAATATATATATATATATATATATATATATATATATATATATATATATATATATATATATATAATTATATATCGATGGATTAAACACACATACACACACACACACACACACACATATATATACAATACTTAAATAGATACATAGAAATTACATAATTTTATAAACATTTACATAAAATAAATATATTTAATATATCCATAAATTTTATATATTACGTTTACACTAATATATATATATTTATATAAAATAGTATTTAATATTTTATTTATTTATTTTAAAACAAATTTATTTATAGAATATAAATAATTTTATAGATATTTGCATAAAATTGGTATATTTAATATTTACATAATTTGTATATATTATGTTTACAATAATTAGAGATACATACTATTTTTGTATTATCTATTTTCGGCTGCACTAAAAATAATATATAGTTTTTACATTGATAGAAAAACATATATAAATGATATATTTATCTTGTTTCTAATTAGTATTTGTGGGAACTGAAATCCACAATGTCGATTTTCCGTCAAATATGGAAGCTTAGGAAGAAACTCTAATTTTCCCGAGGTCCTGGATCTCTGCGGAAATCACTAAAACAAACGAAATTAACAGAATATGGATGAATAACGAAGAACAGAGAATAAAGAATTTGTGTGAAAGCTTTTATTAAGTAAGAGATCGACAACTGTTACAAAGAGAATTGAAGAACTTAGACGTCGAAACGTTCTAAGGATCTGAATTGCTAGTCTAAACGCTAAGTCCTAAATTCCTAAGCTAACAGCCGCCTTTGTAGGTCTGATTTTCGTCCTCCTCCTCTTCCCTATGCCTCTGGTTTATATACTCCTTTCCCAAGCGGCTCAATCTTTCCATTTTGCCCGGATTCGAGTTTATCGGGAAACTTCCTTTTATCTCCATCCTTCCTTTCTTCCCGCGAAAATCTTCTATTTATCTTCAAACTTGCCTTTTATTTCCCTTCTGCGAATAAACCGTCAAAACGTTATCGTATCTTCGGGATTGATTTCGTTAATATCGCGAGATGGGTTTTTATCGTGTTTTAGGACCTTTCGGGCCGTTTTACGATAAAAACCGTTTTACGATTTTATACGAGATCGTTTCCTGATCCGATGCCGTTTTTACGATTTTCTCGACATTTTTATTAAAAACGCGTCTTTTATGATCTTAACAAAAAATCATGGATAAATCGTATAGTTTAGGCGATGTTCGGTGTCTTGCTTAACCGTTACCGTTTTATACGATTTCTTCGAGTTCTTTTCGAGAAAACGGAGTTTTACGGTTTTTATCATAAAACTCAAACGATAAGTCGGGTTGAGACGAAACGAGAGACATTTCGGCCATGGTTCAGAATGCGACCATGTCGAAGGGCGTAAGTTTCGAATCAAGGATGCGGGAAATCGAGGCTCGGGAAGGTTGGTTCAGCGTACGGAGAATCGAGCCGGTCCGGTCCAGCTGTCCGAGGAGCTTCTAGTTCACCTGCTGGCGAACTAAGCCAGCTTGGCTTAGTTCTCCAGCAGGCGAACTAGTCAGGGTGTTCCTAGTTCGCCAGCAGGCGAACTAGTCGAGAGGCTCCTAGTTCGCCTGCTGGCGAACTAAGCCGGGCTGGCTTAGTTCGCCAGCAGGCGAACTAGTCATGACTAGTTCGCGTTTTGCGGCGGTTTCGATTTTTTGCGATTTTGTAAAACGATTCTCGAGTTTTATAAAATGGTTCTTTGAGT